CTAACTTATCAGGCTGTAAAAGAGACGGCAGGAGATTTGTACTTTCAGATTTGCAAGGATCTGTTAACATAGCCTTACAATAAAGTAGAATTAGCTCATCTGGTTGTGTTTCCTGTCTGGTCTACCTGGGAAGGCTGACATCAGTCCTAGACCGCCATTCTTGCTCATTCCAACAAGCAAGTAAGGCCTCAGACAAACCATGCACCAGGACTTCAGAGACAATCCCAAGTTCCCTGTGAAACCAGATAGAGTCCATCAAGTACTTGGCCAGACTGATCCTTCCTCCATGCAAGAATTTTGGGTCATCAGTAATCTCAGTGAGGTCCATGGTGACCATGAACTCTTAAGCCACTTCTGATTCTGTGCCTAAGGAAGTTCCCCAAGTGCCTAACTGAAGTCCTCCAAGATATAAGCCAAGGGAATACCACTGACAATCCATGGCATCCAGCAGCTTAGTAGGGAAGCAGTTACATAGCAGGGAGACTGGTACAGTGGCAGCAATCCCACCTGATCTCTGTGATTCAACATCACAAACAGGGTCTCACATCTAGTTATTTGAGGAGCAGTGTCCTAAAAGCCAGAAGAACTTCCTGGATGACCAAGGCCATTCTCCTACCCGTGCCCTGGGTTAATAGCTATAATGGTACGTGGGGATGACCATGGGAGACAGGGCAAAGAGACACAGCCAAGAGAATGGTCAGATAAAAGGCAACATAGCCCACAGCAGGAATATGGACGAGGCAAGAGGCTCAGAGGGGACCTTCCCTAGTTTCATGGTCTGTTAGGGAGATAGGTGGAGAGGGGGAGGGATGTACTTTCAGACTTGCAAGATTCTGTTAATGTAACTTTACAATAAAGTAGAATTAGCTCATCTGGCTGTGTTTCCTGCATGGTCTGCCTCACAAGGCTGACAATGGCTGATGCCATACCCAAAACCAGGTGGGCACATTTCAGAGAGGAGCATCTCACCCCCCCCCATGCCTAGTGGACCTTGGTAGTACACCCCAAGTTGGCTCTCGTCCGTGATCAAGTT